GCAATATCAAACATGTAAAAATTGAGTAGTGGCGGTGAGCGGCGGCGGCGACGTGTACTCTTCCTGAAAAGTGACACTTCAACCTACAACTGGAAACTCAACTTTTAAAGATGCATAATATCAGATAAGCCACCAAAGCAAAATAATAAGGAAAGTAAACTAAGGAGTGATAAATGAAACTCGAGTGAGGTAGAGAGGTTGATGATTCTCGGTGATTGAGGCGTCGGATGAAAGATTCGTTCGATGGAAAAAGTCAGAAGTTCATAATTAAGATCAATAAGCTCGATTACAAGTGATTAGGGTGAGTGCACCCCTTACTCTAAAATATTTCAAGGTTTTTCATAATTATAATACATTGCATGTTGTATTAGAACATTTGATTAAATATCCAAATAAAAAAAAATTAGGAAAATTTCCATAATTCTCTTAACTTTACATAAGGAATAACAGAGGTTAGAAATGAATACTAGATTATAAAATTTATGAGAATGTCGTAAGACTTCAGTAATGTACCTTTGTTCTTTATGTTCCATAGGATACAAATTATTGATGGGATGAGTGTAATTGGTGATTAACGTGGAAACTTAATTTTGAGTTGAAAACCTAATTTTTGGATTGAAAGCAGGTTTTAGGTTGGAAACCTGGTTTTTTGTTTGGAAAACATGTTTTAGGTTGAAGCCTGAGTTTGAGTTAGAAAGTTGATTTTGGGATTGGAAACATGTTTAGGTTGGAAAACTGATTTTAGGTTGGAAGCCTAATTTTTAGTTTGAAAAATAGGTTTTAGGTTGGAAACCTGATTTTTAGTTTGGAAAGCAAGTTTTAGGTTGGAAACTTGATTTTGAGTTAGAAACCTGACTTTGGGATTGGAAACCAGATTCTACAAAGGATTAGAGTGACTCGCAAGGGAGCACATAATCATAACTACTATAGGTGACTCCCATAGGAGTCCCGAAGGATTAGAGTGACTTGCACTAGAGCACATAATCATAATTATTCTGAGTGACTCGTACGGGAGTCCCAAAAAATTAGAGTGACTCACACAGGAGCACCTAATCATATTATTGTTATATTCGGTGACTCGTACAGGAGCACATAATCATAGTACTGAGAGAAGGGTGATGTAATCACGAAGTACATACCCAAGTACGAGAACGATCTTATTATGCGATTCTAGTTAAATCATTACACTCACTCTAGCAATTATGAACGAAAAATGATGAAGATAACATGGTTGATTGGTTTATATTACTTGATATACAACAACTTAAGATATACTTTTATCGATGCCATAAACTTTAGTAAGTTGAGCCTTTAGATTAGTTACCATATTGTTGATGTTACATTGATGGCCTATATGCTCACACATAACTTGTATGCTTATTTTTTTATGGATCTCTTGAAATATGATAAAGTAGTTGTATACTCGCTGAGCTTGTTAGCTCACTCTTCAAATTATTACCATATATGGTTGCAGTTTATAAGGATCTCGATGGGACAACGATATTGTAATAGGAGTCTCCGTGGAAGTACCAGAGTACAATGAAGATTACTTGTATGGGCTTGTAGAGATTGTGGTTGTTTATCATTATTTGAGTCGTATTATAAAAATGTTTGTTTATATCAATAAAGAAAATTACAAGATCATTGAAGCCTAGCCTTCCATATCAAGCAATCCTAGAGAAACTAAAACTTTATGCATATGAAATTTGTCAGACATATAAGTATGAACTTTTTTCCGAACATAATGTATAGCTCTTTCATGTACATTGATATTTTATAATGTTATGGTCCATGATAAATGTAAAGTGTTTTATGGTCGAATGGCACAATGCCAAGCAAACAACGGTGGGGTCAAGACAACACTTGGATAACGTTTCATACTTTTGCTTTACTTCTATTCTATATATACTTTGTTCCAACAAAAAAGTAAATAAACAAGTCTTGCTCTTCCTTTTATAGTATTTTTTATTGTTTATTATTTTTTGTATCATCATGTATAATATAAATGTGCCCTTTTAGTTTTGCGAAAGAGATACAAGTATTTAATATATTTGAAAATTATAATTAAAATTATACCTAATAAAGTATAATTGAACAAAAACTTGAATCTATATGTAGCTAAAAGTAAATATTGTAATACAATTAAACGGAAAAGATTATGTTATTAAAACTTATTAATAAATATATTTTAAATATTTTAATAATTGTTTTTGTAAATATATATATATATATATATATTTGAAACAAATACACTCTTAATTTTTATTTATAGAAACCACCAGCGCTAATACTAATTAAACAATTAATAAGAGTGCGAAGATAACGGTAAAAGTGGGGTCCAGACCAAATGGAAAACGGGTAGGGCCGACTTGAAAGAAGCAGCCTGCAATACAAAACGGTGAGCCTAATGATTGTTGGCTTGTCCACGCCGGACCATTAGCCGCCACGTCCCTGAGATCCCGATATATAAATTCTGTGCAGTGGGCTCCACACTCCACTATTTATATAACAAAGACGTGCCTAAAATATGGGAATATATTAGTTTAGTATTAAAACTATTAGTTTTTGTTAATTTTATTATTTAATTTTTTAATTTTTTTTAAAATCATACCTAAAATTTATTTTTATTTTATTTTAATATATTATCGTTAAAAGTTTAACGGTGACTTGCAAGTGACACCTTTTTATAAGTAAATTAAATCATTTATCACTCAACTATTTTTTCACTTTTATTTTGGTCACGAAAGTTTAAATTTTTTAATTTAATTACTTAACTTTTAAATTACTCCTAATTTAATAACTCTACCTTTTAAATTTATTTTCTTATTTTTAATTATATATAATAAAAATATCATGTTACAAAAATTATTAATAAAATAGATTAGAGTGATTAAAATAGGAGCGATTTGAAAGTTAAGTAGTTAAATTGATTTTTTTAAATTTTAATACCAAAATAGGAGTGAGAAGATAGTTTGAGTGATGAATGATGTAATTTACCCATAAATAATTGCAGTGTTGTTAAGTTTTTAACGACGAGATGCTAAAATGAAACAAAAACTAAACGTTAGATATGATTTTGAAAAAATTAAAAATTTAGGTATTAAAACGGATTAAATTGATAATTTATATATTAAATGCTTAATTTATTCTAAAGTGTATTATTAGTATTAACAAAATTATAAGATATTATATGTTCATAATTTTTAATCGATTAATAATGAATGTACACATATTTAATAGATAATATTCTTCAAATTCGAGACCTTACGCTCATTTTTACTATATAAATCGTTTGATGAATCTTAACTAAATCTAAGTATATTTTAATTTTAGCTGTAAATTTTATTAATGTATTATAAAATTATTTTAGAATAAACTATATAAACAATCACCAAACTTTTAGTGTGCTTTTATTTTAGTCACCAAACATCTAAAACTTTTAATATAATTATTAAACTTTTAGTTCACTTACATTGAACGAAGCGATCGGCAGTAGGTATAAAAAATGAGCCTAGACTTATGTTGAAGTTCGTTAGTTGAGCCATTTCATGCAAATGAAAGGAAAAGAAACAAGTAAAAAAAAATGAAATATTGCAAGTTAAAAGTTTGGTGACTAAATGTAAGCACCCTAAAAGTTTGATGACTATTTCTATAAATTATCTTATTTTATTGCAATTATTTAAAATATTGAATTGTAACACAAACCAATTTACCTTAGTAGTTAAATGAATCGATATTGTTCTTGGACGTCACAGATTCGAACACCATCGATTACAACAGGGTGATTGAGCGTTCATTGCCAAATGATCGAAAATATTTAAAATAGATACTACTTTATATTCACCTTAGCTTAATAAAAAATATTAAATTATAATTATAATTTTAGTTGCATATATATTAATGGATCTTCTTTATCTTGTAATGGTATGTATGTATATTAATCGTAATAATAACTTTAAGGGAAAAACATACGAAACTTTCAAATTCAAAATATTAAATTTTATCAAAACTTATATTCAAAAAAATTATGAAAACTTTAAATAATTTGAATAGATGATTTATTCAAATTTTGATTAAGAAAAGTAAGATTAAAGAGATTTTTTTATATATAAATTTTGATTAATTCAAATGTTTGAACTCAGATGACAGAAAAATTAGTTATAATATTTTATCAATCACGTAGGCAATTATACACCCTTTCTTTTACTTTCATCTCAGCTCATTGACGTAGACTTGGGAGCTTAGCCGAGTCAATTTAATAATTTTAAAAAATAATGAAATTTATTTTAAAATTTTAATTTGGAGAGGTGTCACTAGTCGATAATGCAATGGGTCGGTTCGTGGGGTCAGGTTGTGAAAGCTTGGTGAAACTTATGTGACGTAAAATTAATTAAGAATAAACAGAAGTAAAACATTTTTTAGCAACAATTTGAACATTGTTAGAAGCATCAATTGTATGAGTTATGACTTAATTTTAAGTAGAGTAATAAATAGCTTGAATTATAATTAAATATAGAATTTATACATGGTAGAAATTGAGCTTTATATATATATATATATATATATATATATATATGAAAAAGAATATATGAGAGGGATACGTTTTTAGGGCAATGTGTGTTTCTTATTTAACCCTATCTCGTTCCTCCTTTCCCATTCTTCATTTCCCTTTATTTTCCTTTTCCTTGTGATCTCCCTCTTCCCTTTTCCGACAACTAGTGGACAAGTTCTCGAGTCCACAAGTGTGTTTGGGGGCCGTGGGGTTTCAGTTCAGTTCCCCAGGGTTACGACTTTCCTTTTCTTTAAAGCCACCTTAATTTTCTTACATGATCTCTTGCTTTCTTTTCTGTGTTGTTTGTCTGGTTCAAATAAAAGTATAAGAGAGTGAACAAAAAGTTAGCTCAAAGTTTCTCGGCATAAAGTTGATTTGGTGCAAACACATGATGAGTCTGGTTTTCAGTCAGATCTCAGAGGATTAAGCAGTTTGAGTTGGATAGTAGAATATCAAGCTTGGTGGTACCGTGAGCTTCTCTTCCTTGTTGTTTCATTTCATAGTTTTTTTTTTCACGAGTGATCATTTCCCGAAGGTCACAAAGATTGAAGCGTGGGATGTTTTTGGTCTACGTTAAGCAACGAAATTATGAAACCACAAAAGATACGATTTGATGTCTTTAACTGCTTTTTGATCAGCGCTTGAATGTTGCTTTTAAGCTCCAAGATGCCTTCATCTTGTATTGATTAGGTTTTCCAAGTTTTCAGGCTAAAATTTTATTTTTCTTTACCATCGAGAATTGCTGTTTGGTGTTAGCATAGTGAAGATCTCGTAGTCAACTTTTAGACGTATGGAGGTTAATAGAAAGGTTAAAGTATCAGAAATGATAACATTTTCCATTGAGAAAACTTGCCTTACAAGTGCATCCAAGTTTAATTACTCATCATTAGATATAATTAATGAATTCGTTTCGCTGTTTGTTCCTTGTTATCTGGTGAGAAACCCCATTACTTTTCTTGGTGATAATGTGACATTTTAATGCAGGTTTTGATTGATCTTTCCTTGGAAGAAATATGAATACCTTCTCAAACGTTCCTCCAGGCTTTAGGTTTCATCCCACGGATGAAGAACTGGTTGACTATTATCTCAGAAAAAAAGTTGGTTCAAAAAGGATAGATCTGGATGTCATCAAAGATGTCGATCTTTATAAAATTGAACCATGGGATCTGCAAGGTAGCAAGAAATGCCATAACAATCCCCATGTTTTTTTTTCTCGGATTAACAAATGGTCAGATTATTTGATTATGTTTTGTTTTGTGGGGATCATAAGAATTGTGCAGATTAGGAACTGAGGAACAAAACGAATGGTACTTCTTTAGCCACAAAGATAAGAAGTATCCAACAGGTACCCGCACTAATAGAGCAACAAAAGCAGGGTTTTGGAAAGCTACGGGAAGAGACAAGGCTATTTACTGCAGACTTTGCCTTATCGGCATGAGAAAAACCCTAGTCTTCTACAAAGGACGAGCACCCAATGGACAAAAATCCGATTGGATCATGCATGAGTATCGACTCGAAACTAATGAAAATGGAACTCCTCACGTAAGTATATCTATATGTATATACTACATCGCAAGCGAAAGTTGTGTTACTATTTGTTGTCTTTGTTATTCCACCAGGAAGAAGGATGGGTGGTTTGCAGGGCATTCAAGAAGCGAATGACGATGGTTCAAAAAGTGAGTGAATATGAATCTTCATATTGGTACGACGAGCAAGTCTCGTTCATGCAGGAACTTGAATCCCCAAGGCGATTTCCTCAGCCATATGCATCACCATACCATCACCACCATTACCCCTGCAAGCAAGAGCTTGAGCTGCAACACAATTTGCCTCATAACGCTTTCCTTCAACTCCCTCAGTTGGAAAGTCCCAGAGTTCTGCAATCCGCTGCGAGCGTAAGCGCCTGCAAGTCGGTTGCTCCTTACGGAAGCACGTTGCAGTCAACAACTCTCACACAGGAAGAGCACATGAACCCGGTGATGCATCAGCAAAATCTGAACTCGGTTTATAACAACGGCGAGCAGGCAGTGGACCAGGTGACTGATTGGCGAGTTCTCGACAAATTCGTCGCCTCTCAGCTTAGCCATGAGGAAGCATCCAAGGGAAACAACTATTCCAATGCAGACACCAGTTTGCAAGTGGCTGAACATATGAATTTGCTAGCTAATGAATCCAAAAGGCCAGAGATTGCTCATCAAGAACATACCTCTGCGTCGACTTCGAGTTGTCAAATTGACCTATGGAAGTGAAAGCATATATACTAATTATAGAAGGGAATTTATAAGAAAAGATGTCTTTAATACAGGTTGCTGCTGTACATAATAAAACTACAATATATGGTATTGCATTAGCTATGGACCAGGCATGCAGTTATTATAAACATTAATATGCAAAAGTACAAATAAATTAGTACTTCTACTATGGCCGACAGTTCTTTTGGGACCGAGTCGGCCTAATATTGAATGTATTTTCTTCTTGATATACATATGATTGTTTCTTTATCGAAATCTTTATTCTTCTTTGGTCATTCATGTATTAATTTTGAAACTTTTAATCACCGTTTTAGAAATTTTTCAGATACACAAAAAGTTCATAAATCCTTTATTATTTGGATCAGAGACATGCTCTGGAAATGAATAATAATTTAATCTCTTTGCCGAAAAGCACAACACTCGAGTCATACCATTATCCTCATTTTTTTTAAAATTTTATATAGGGACCAAACCAGAATTTAATCTTAATAGAGGCGGGATCTTTTTAACGGCTTTAAGTTTTATATATAATTTTATTTTTATTATTTATTTATCTTAAAAAATATAAATGATAACATCAAATATACATATTAGTTTTATCATTTCTATGAAATAACAAGTAGAAAATTAGAAATAAAATTAAAAAAAATAATAAAAATGTATGATTTTATAAGGTGTTAAAGACGTAATTATCACATAATCATAACAAAACACATCACTCCTTTAAATCTCATAATGCATCGTCGAGTGATATAATATACTAAAATTAAATATAAGATCAAATATGCATATTAGTTCTACCATTTCTATAAAATAACAAGTAGAAAATTAGAAATAAATAGTAAAAAATGTATGATTTTGAAAAGGTGTTAAAGACATAACTATCACATAATCATAAAAAAACACGTCACTCCTTCAAATCTCGTAATGCATCGTCGAGTGATATAATATACTAAAATTAAATATAAGATCAAACAACTCCAATTAATAAATTATAGCAGAGATCGGGGGCCCTTTGTGCTCGAATGGCCCTCAGTCATTGCAAAAGGGATTTATGAGGTCTAACGACAAATTTTATGGGATATGCGAGGTCTAAAGAAGATAATTTTGATTTATGCTCTCATGTCATGTTCATATTCGGTATATATAAATAAATTTTTTCATCAATTGCACAATGAATACATATTTAAAAGTGTATATTTAAATATTTAAACGAATTTATATCTAAACAATACGAGGTTTGAGAATCTCATGATCAAACAAGTAGATTTTGAATTCTCAAATACTTATCTTAAACTTGATCAGATCCATGTTAATACGACGATAGTCAAAGAAAGTTTGTGACATTAGAATCCCGAACAACAATTGACAGAGGTCTTGACCTAAATCTTATTAAGGTCAGGTTTTCTATTTGACTGCTCAAAGGAATAACTTTGCTTATGAGATTTTCAAATCTATCACATTGTTTCGATATTGATTCATTTAAGTATTCAACTTTTAAATATCCACTTATTTGGTGGTTGAAGATAATGTTCATATACATGTTGATATCATCTAATTTTGCTAGTGCTCATGTGAATACATGTGTCAGACATGCATTGCACACATTTTGTCTTTTAGATAATTTTTGTCTTATGTGACATAAAAGAGTCTCAATTCGGAAAATGTTTATAAAAGTGTGTAATTCTAGAAGAATTTTAAGGGTGATCTAATGATTAAAGAAACCATCTTTGGTGGTGCCATTTTATGTCTTGATATTTGGTATAATTAGTCTAGTGTCATTTTAGTGTGAAGTGTCTTGTTTTTATGATATTTGGTATAGGATGTGAGCTGTAACAAGTATTGTTTCATTGAATTGAACTTGTTAGTTTATGCTAGTTTTGTATCCTGGATCGACTTACGAAAGAAAAGGTGAACTATGCTGTATTCTAAAGGAACTTGGCTGTTATTTCCCACCGGGTAGGCTCATATCACTATGAAGGAAATAATGCAACATTTTTTTGAAGAAAGAACAATTATTGAGCTATGAAAATTCTGAATTTCTAATATATAGTCCAGTAATTCAAAGTTTGGGACACAGAATTTAGATTCTAAATTTCTAGATTTTACTAGTCATTGCCTGTTCACAGAACAAACACAGCTACGTACCTGTTCAAGAAGATGAATTAAGAAAGATTGAGCTAGACTGCATCTCCTTCAACGTGAAAATTGATGTGGAGAAGAAACCGCAGTCCGCCGTGGGAACAAAACTTGAAGAAGCTATCTTTGTTCAAAGAATAGTGGTTTAAATACCTGGAGGAATTTAAGGGAAACAAAGTTAAGGTGTTGAGTAATAATGGATGATTACATTACATGATTAAGAGGCAAGAAAAGTGGAATCGTTCATTGGCTGTTACTCACTGAGAGAACATCCTTTTTACTTGGGTTGAAGCCAAGCATGACGATGTATCCCTTTAAAGCAATGAAAAATAAATTTAAGAAAGACATCATCATTGGGCGTGCTCTCATGGGCGTGCTCCAGTTTTATCATGAAGAACAAAGGTTTAGGGTTTCATTTGCACTACCCTTTTGTATTCGTCTCAAATTCTGTTGATGAAAGAAGCCGAACAAAATGAACATAGCGAGCAGCCCATGCGCACATTAATCCATGTGAAGCATAGTTATCAGTGTGCTAATTCTTTACTTTCTCCAATCCCAAGACCTCTACAGTTCCCGGGACACACCTTGTACTTGATCCATTTTTATGTCTATACTTTTTGGCATAATCACCTTTTGTGTCATCATTTTAGCCTTTATTTTTTCCCCATTTCTTTTAATCCTTGAATTTATAATTTTTTTGTCAAATTAATAAAAAAATAACAGAATTATTATATTGATATAATCTATTTTATCTTTTATCAATGTTAATAACGGTTAATCCTTGAATTAAAGTTGGTTGAATCAGGCCCAGGTGATTGCTAAGTTTGAACATCAATATAGTCCCAGCTAAGTGGAATACCAGCTTCATCAACAAACTGAAACTGAAAATCCAAAATTCCAAAATACAGCGATGGACAACTGGAAGATCCCTCAATAAATTTTGTATTCCCTTCTATAATTACAGTACAAATCTATTCCAACAACAAAAAAAGAAGAAGAGGAAATTTGAGGTTCAGGTTGCATTTTGGTTTATAGCATAAACAGAAAACTTGCCCATGAACAGTGGTTGACAAAAATGGAGTTGTTTCAGTGTGATCCAATGAAGAAAATCGACACATATTCCAGTATTTATGAAAACTGACTGCAATTCTTGCTATAATGAGTCTAGTCTGAGTTGTAAAGTGGAAGCAATGCATCTTATGAGGAAGAGCAAGCCATGTTCCCCACACCCACTCTTAAACATGGGGACCACACTGTTCTTTCATGGATAAATACACTCCAAAGTTTACTTTATAGAAGTGTCATTTTTGGCCTTCGACCTTCTTCTTCCCATACCGGAATTAAAAAATCTCATCTTAGAAGCCAAAACCTTAAAAAAGGTGTGTCACCGCCGAAATGGATTTCAACAAGAACATTAAATTCGGTGTCCAATTTTGTTGAAAATGATAATAGGGATAATCGTAATTTAGTCCTTGTATTTTAGGATATTTTCAAAGATTAGTCCTTAAGTTTCAATTATGAATACACTTACTCATTTAGCTTCAATATCATCCCAAATCATCTCTTTTTCCCAATACTAAAGAGTTTAGAGAGTTTTCTTGTGAGTTGTGAGTGTTTTGTAAACACCTTAAAATTTTATCTCTTTAGTAAAAAATCTGCAACAGTCCGAAAACGTAGGCATAATTGGATGAACTTCGTTATCAATTTCGAGTATTATTTTTCCGCTTTTATTTTGCATTCTCACTAATCTGGTTATAGGGAAATTACTTGTTTATTTCCCAACAATTGGTATCAGAGCTTTAGATTGTAAATTTTGTCAATTTTTCTGCGAGATTACTATTCACATGAATAGTGAATTTCGTGAATAGTAAAATTTAGTCGGCGATACGAATTTGTCGACGGAGGTGTTCTAATACACGATGGTTCGCAGGAATTGTCAGAAACGATCCAAAAGAAGGCAGATTCGAGTGGGAGCAATGACTTTGAGAAACGAAGTGGATGAGCTCAAGAGGAATCTGCTCATATGCAAGGGAGAAACAAGTGAATAGGGTGTGCTCAAAACCTTCTTGGAAGGACTTAGAATAGGGGTGATGATCGGGGGAGAGAAAGCAGATGCCCAGAGACTTTCGGATGCCATAGTTGTAGCCGGAAAGCTGATTGAGCTTGCAGGAGTCAAGCCAAGTAGCAATGTGTCGTCCAGGCCCATGCCCAGGGATAGTGGCAACAGTGGGGGGAGATCGGGAAAATGTGCAGCAAGGAGATGGTAGAGAAAGCTGTTCGAATGGCCAAGGTGAGCCATCGACTGTTCGTAGTCAAGGAAAGCCATCGGGAAAGAATGACAAGGCTAAGTCCGGTGTAAAGAAGAATGGGAGCAAGGAAAAATTTAAGTTCTACTTCTGTGATGGTCCTCATTTGATTAGAGGATGTCCCGAGAAGCGTCGCCTTACAACCATCATGAATAGGATGAAAGAAGGAGAAGTAGTGGGAATTGGCAAGGTCGCAAGTGTTAAAGCTACCAATCCAGGAAAAAAACTTGGCCCGATTGATGGGATCAATGCGGCCAAGCAAGGATCGAGATGAGGCAAGGTTGTTGATGTTGAAGCAGTCGAACCCGAAAGAAAGCCCGAGATTACGAGTATCCAAGCAATCAAGACAGGGGAAAGACTTGGTGAGGCTACATGTTCCAAAGTAGTCGAATCAAGGAGCAAGAGTAGTGCGACTACAAGTTCTCAAGTAGTTAACCCAGGATCGAAACTTGACGAGACTGTGGATGTCAAAGCAGTCGAGCACAAGAAGGGACCCGGTGCGATAGCAAGAGATAAAGCCGTCAAACCGAGGGTGCAAAGTGAGCAAGTCTGCTCACAGTATACCAAGATAGAGGCATGGTCCAAGTTGAGGCGTCTCAGGC